TTATTCCCTTTCCCCTCTCCATTCTCCCCCATCCCTCAATCTCTAGATCTCCTTACCCCATTTTTATTATTTTAATAGTTCAAGATGGCAACTCATAATGTATATGTTCATTGTGTGCAGCTGATACATGTACATGACTCATTTTAAATATTTTCCCATGCATTCCCCCTTCCCTATTTCAACCCCCTCCCAGTAAGTATCTTCATTCCATTTTAGTTTGCAAAAGATCTGTCATCTGGTTTTCTTTGATCAATCTTTTATTATTTGCAGTTTAGGTCTCAAAAGAGAAATGAAATCATATGGTGCTGAAGCTTGTGTGTATGAGTTATTTCACTTAGTATTATATTTTCCATTTTTTAAACAGAGAACAAATTAGAATTGAAACATAAAATATTACAGGTCATACAGGTTTTCACTTAAAGGGATATGAATTTCACAGTATTTGTGGTAATACAGTGTTGTCTTCCACCCAGTTACATATTATCAGGTATATGCGTGTGAAATTGGAATAAGAAAAAGAAATATATAAGACGTTAAGAAGAGAAAAAGTACAAACAATTGAAAAAAGGAGAGAAAACAAATGGCTGGCATCAAGAAGTCAGCCAATAACAAATGCTGTAGAGGTTGTGGAGAAAAAGAAACCCTTCTGCACTGTTGTTGGGAGTGAAGACTGGTACAACCACTGTGGAAATCAGTGTGTAGCTTCCTTCAAAATCTAGGATTGGAGTTCCCATTCAAACCAGCTGTTTCTTTCCTGGGTATTTTGGCAGAAGAACTGAAAATTTCATACCGTAGCAATATATGTGCACCCATCTTTGTAGCAGTGCAATTTGTTATAGCTGAGTCCTGGAAACAACCCAGATGCCCATCAGCTGAAGAATAGATAAGGAAGATATGATATTTTTACACAATGGAGTATTATTCAGCTATGAAACAGGATAAGTTTGAGTCTTTTGTTAGTAAATGGATGCAACCAGAGGACATACTCTTAAGTGAAATAAATCAGACCTTCATGTGCAAACATAATATTGTGTCCTTAATGTGAGAACCTGAAAGAGAAAATAATTGAATCTGAAGTGTACAATAGACACTGGTAAAAGAGAATGAACTTATTCAAAAGGAAAGAGTTATTGAGTTGAGGAGGACAGGAGATGGAATGGGAGAAAGCACTGTTTTAAAGGTACATCCATTTTCCTAAGAATGACTCAAATTTATCCATCTTTATGGTAGAGTAGTGTTTCCTTATACAGAGGCACCACATTTTCTTTATCCATTCATTTATTGATAGGTACATAGCCTGATTCCAAGATTTAGTTATTGTGAATCATGCTCCTGTGTATAACATCATTATGCAAGTATTATTGTAATGTGATATCATTAATACTTTTAGGAAGATACCTGGAAAAGTAATACAGGTTTGAGTGTATTTTTACTTCATTAAAAAAATCTCCAATCTGATTTACACAATGGTAATAATAGTTTATATTCGAACTAATGATGCAAGGTGGTTGCTTTTTCATGGCAGCTTCACCAGCATTTGTTGTTACTTGATTTATTGATGTTAGTCATTCTTCACTGCATTACATGAAATTGCATTGTTATTTTATTAATATTTCTCTAGTGGCCAGTGAATTTCAACAGTTTTTTGTGTAGTTACTAATAATGTTTCTGATGTATTTACTAGCTTCAGATTTCTTCAGAGAAATACCTATTCATTTCAGTTGTCCATTTTTGGATTGGGTCTTCCTGTTTGAGGAGGTTGTAGGTTTTTTTTTTTTAAGTTTTTTACATATCCTAAATATCAGTTCTCTTGTCTGAGGTGTCGCTGTAAAAAGCTTTCTCCATCCTGTATGGTGTCTCTTCACTTTTTGGGTGATTCATTTGCTATGGTGAAAGTTTTTAAATTGATATTATCCCATTTGTTGACACTTTCTGGTGTGTGTGTGTGTGTGTGTGTGTAATCAAAGTTCTGTTGAGAAAGTCTCTGCCTATACTCTGATTTCAAGATTTTTGTGTACTTTATTTTTCAGGAGGTTAAATATGCCTGGTTTTATATTTGGAGCTTTGATCCATTTCAATTTTAGTTTAGGTCATAGTGAGAGATATGGCTCTGTCTTCAGTGTTCTGATTGTGAATGACCCATTTTCCCAGCAACATGTGCTAAAGAAGCTATATTTCCTCCAGTTACATTGTTTGGCACTTTGTCAAAAATTAGGTGGCTGACTGTATCTGAGTTGTTTTTGCATCTTTTATTCTATCCATTGATTTACTTGTTTGTTTTTGTGCCAG